CCAGGATTTAGCTCAGTGGTTCTGCCGCCTCCCTCACAAGTACAAGGTCCCGAGTTCGATCCCCAGTACCAAAAGAAAAAGATTAAAAAATTATTTTTTCCTGCAGTGCTGGGTTAGGAACCCAGGGCTTAGAATATACTAAACAGGAACTGTACCACTGAACCACATGTCTAACCATAAAATTTTATTTTTATTTGACACATAATAATTGTACAAATTCATGAGGCACAGCCTGATGGGGTTTTTTTGGTACCAGGGATCGAACTTGGGTCCTTGCATTTGCGAGGCAGGCGGCGGAACCACTGAGCTAAATCCCCGGCCCAAACAGTGTGCTCCTATGCCAGTGGTAGCCTCATGCATCTCGTGGTTTGTTTTTTTTTTTTTTTGGTACCAGGGATTGAACTCGGGTCCTTGCGCTTGCTCAGCAGGCGACGAAACCACTGAGGTAAATCCCCGGCCCTCAGCTTGATGTTTTGATGCATGTATAGACATTATGTAATGATCACTCAGTGTGATTACCATATCCATCACCTCGAACATTTATCATTTCTCTGTGGTGAAACAGTTAAAATTCAGTTGTTTCAGGACTGGTTGCACTGACGGCTGTTTTTCATTTAAGGCAGACTATAAATTTGTCCTTCCTCCACTGCCCACATCCATGCAGGGGATTGAACTGGGAACCTTCTACATGCTAACACATGCTCTTACCACTGAGGTACTTACTCCCCCAAACTCCCTTCTAGTGTGTGTGTGCTCCCCCCCCTCTTGTTTTTTTTGGGGGTGCATTTTGTGTAGTTTTTTTTGAGAGTCTTGCCATGTAGTTCATGCTGGCATGTTGAACTCACTGCGTAGTCTAGGCTGGCCTTGAGCTTGTGGTTATTCCCCTGCCTCAGCCTCCAGAGTACTGGGATTACAGGCGTACACTACCACACCTAGCACTTGTAGCTATTTTAAAGTAGACATTATTGTTGACTGTAGTCACCCTATGGTGTAATAGAGCACCTGAACTTACTCCCTTATTTATCTTTAGCTAATTTTGTGCCTGTTGACCAACTTCTCCCAACACACCCCACCCCATCCTCTGGTAACTACTATTCTACTGTCTACTAATTTGATTTCTGCTGCCATAGATTAGAAAAATGTCGCTATTTTTTAACTCAAGTTTTGTAAATAAAATATGGAAAGGAGATTTAATTCAGTCTTTATGTCAGAAATTAAGTGCATTTGCAAATTCTCATATTGTAATGTATTAGAGGACAGTAGTATTATGAAGTTGTGTTCTTTTTTGCTCATTGTATTTGTTTCTTTTGTTCATTAAATCAGCATTTGTCCTTCTTCAACATGTCTTCAAGTCCCTTCTCTATTCCTACAGTTCCTGCTAAGCGGCAGAGTCTGACATAGCCTCTAGGTACACTTCTCAATCTACATGTGCGTAAGCATGTGGAGAGGGGAGTCTTGTTAGCAGATCCCTGTCTGCACAAATCTTTTGTGGGCCTGAGGTGCTCCAACCACCTCCAGGTGATGCTGTTGTTGCCACATGGTGCCTATCACTGATGCCTTGCAGTTATCCACATACTGCTGTCACATGGCATGCCTGCCACTGGTACCTTTCCGGTCATGTGCACACCACTGTCACCCGTGGTGCCACCTCTGACACCTTCCTGGTTATCTGCACACTGCCCTCACATGTAGTGCCCACTTGTGACACCTTCCAGGTCATTGTGTATACCACCCTTCAGACTGCTTTCCCGAGTCACGTCCCTCTCCTCCTTCACACTCAGTTGCATAGAGGAGTGAAGTCCACACTGTTGGGTATGGTTTTCAGAGAAGTTCCTCAAGAAATAGATGGAGCCTGCCAAAGTCCTCATCAGACTCTGTCATGGTACTATCTACACTTTGCAGGAGCCCCTGGCACTTCCCACTCATGCCATGCTCTTCACACTGTCTGGTTCTCCTGTCCTGTCCTGTTCAAGGCTTTGTACAAATCTTCACCTCCCTGGGCAGGACTTACTCCACATCTTCCTGAGTTTCCCTGGTGCTCCCATATTACTTGATTTGTTTTTGTTTGTTTGTTTTTGGTACCTGGAATCGAACTAAGGACCTTTCACTTTCGAGGCAGGTTGGCGGAACCACTGAGCTAAATCCCCGGCCCCCATATATTCTTACTATTTACCACAGAAGAGGCATTCTCTAAATGGGTGCATCCTGTCACACATTCTCACAGTCCCCTCCTCAATAATGCCTGCCCAGTTCCTACCTCCTGTCTTCAAATGTGACCTTTATTATTATCTAATCTGTCTTAGCATGCATCACTCTCATCACATCACCTGCAGAATAGTTGAACCAAACCTAGTATTTGTCCTCTTGGTGTCTATGTGCCTGTTGCTCCCTATAAATGGCTCTGCATTCACCGACTGTTCTGCTACCTCAAGTGCCACCACCTTCATGAAATCATTCAGGCTTTCTACAGCCCAAAGCAGTTTTTTCTTTCTCAACTCATAAGAGTACCAATAGCACCTTTTCTGTTCTTAGTGGTACTAATGACTTTGTTTTTATTTTCTGTACCATCTTTTCTAACCCTAAACTGCACAGTGCTTAGGAAGTACAGTACCGTATTATCTTAAATATCTGCTAATGAATGAGTTCTGACTAAAAATCAGATCCTTGTTATCTCTGATTAGTAGGGTTCCTTATGTTTCTAGATAACAAATGTAGAAAAGAATTCCACAGGAATTGATATGGTAATATTTTTAAAAACAATTAGTGTGTATGTATTAGCAATTCCCAAGTTTATGTTTATGCTAAGTGGAATATTTTTAGTTTGAGCCTTGGCTTTGGATTTTGAGTGTCATCAGGACTTTCAAGGCAGTATAGGGGCACCTTCCTCTTCAATTGAACCATTAGTACCCATTGTACACTTGGCAATTCACCTTTTTTTTTTTGAGACAGGGTCTTGCTATGTAGTTCAGGCTGTCCTTGAATTCACCACAGTCCTGTCTCAGCCTCCTCAGCCTCTGCCGTGCTCGAATTACAGGTGCCTACCACCATGCATGACTTTTTTTTTTTTTTTTTTTGAGAAGGAAAGGTTTATTTTGTCTCACAGTTTCTAGAGGTTTAAGAAATTGTTGGCTGGCTCCAGGGCAGAAGTGGCACGGTAGAAGAGCCTGCTGTAGGGCCGGGGATTTAGCTCAGTGGTTTCGCTGCCTGCTGCACAAGCGCAAGGACCCAAGTTCAATCCCCAGTACCAGAAAACAAAACAAAACAAGAAGAGTCTGCTGTGCAGGAAACCTGCTCATGTCTGGCATCTGGGAAGCAGAGGGGAAGGGAGACGCTGGGAGAAGGAGATGAATACAGCTGTGCAGGTCGTGCCCCTGTGACCTGCCTCTTCTCACCCCACCCCACCTCCCAACGCCAAAAAGTGGCCATTGTTTGTCCTTTGAAGTTTTAAGAATGAAAATCTTCAAACTTGGGATTTTTCCGATATTAAGGGTTGAATTTAGGGCCTTTGCCTTAAGCTACACCCCCAACACCTTTTTTATTTTTTATTTGAGATGCTTGATTAGTTCCCAGGCTGGGCCTTAGCCCCCAGAGTGCTGGGATGACAAGTGTGCATCACCATGCCAAAATTTAGGAGTTTTAAACAAATAATAAATAGAACAATTATAGTAGTTTACATAACAACTTTATTTCTATTCTAGAAACAGAATATCCTCAGTGTACAGTACCATATTATTGGTGTTGAGATCAGAAGTTGATCTCCTGCACATTTCATACTTTCAGAATCACTAATAAACTAAGTGTGGTGGTACCTGTAATACCAGCACTTGGGAAACTGAGGCAGGAGAATCACTGGAAGTTTGAGGCCCACCTGGGCTCCATAGTGAGTTCAAGACCAGCCTGGACTACATAGCAAGATGCTGTCCCGAAAATTAAAAAAAAAACAAAAAAAACTACTGATGAGATTATCAAAAGTTTTATTTTTCTGTGGATTAATAGATGTGGTAATGAACTGAGCAACTGTAAGCAGACTATAGGTATGTGATTTACATGCAAAGAGGGACAACATCTTGGGTAGAAGGATGCAGTCAAACTTTAGGTTAAGAGTTGATGACTTACATACATCACATCAGAAATAATGTTTATGGGGGTTGGGGATGTAGCTCAGTGATTCCGCCGCCTGCCTCAAAAGCACAAGGATGCAAGTTCGATCCCTGTTACCAAAAACAAAACAAAAAAAATGTTTATATATGGAAATTGAGAAGAGAAAGAGGATCCACCAAAATTTGCCTCTGCCACTTTCGTTCCAGTGGCCCACCTCAGCTAATCTTACTGAGAATACTGTGCTGAGGCAAGCTAAGTCTTCAGCAGTATCTACCTGAACCCTAAGGAAAGCATAGGCATCTCACCTAGGATTAGACCATTAACAGACATTACCTCATTTCTCTCCAGATGATATAAGATTAATTTTGGTTCTAGTAATTTCCTCTCATCAGTTGTGTAGGTGTAAGGTCCTCAAAATAGAAATTACCATATTGCTTTTACCAATGCTATTTAGTTCTTTAAATATATTGCAAGTGGTTTAATCTATTGAAACTATTGAGTGAATGAAAAGTACTTTATAGTCAGTTACATGATGCCCTTATATTCTCTTTTGCCACTAAAATAGAATGCAGTACAGCATATTTATATCAGTTAACCTCTTTGATTATGCATTTGGCATTAATTTATAAATAAAGTAATGTGCATATTGCCTATGCAGATAAATACAGATAAAAGAATCTGGCCTGGTAAGGAACAAGGAGAAAAATGAACCCCAAGGAAAACTAAAAACCTAAACTTTTGTTCCTCTTCTAGCACCAATGTGGGAGGAAGACAGAGCTGATCATGGATCATTATGTTACATGGGGCCTGTGTCTTGGTAGTGGTCGGGAGGGACAGATGAATTTTAAGAAATACCTGTGTCTGATCTCTCGATCTCTCTCTTGCCTCCCCTCTTTCAGGAGTTAGAGGCAGCTCTCCACAGAGACGATGTGGAGTTTATCAGTGACCTGATTGCCTGCCTGCTTCAGGGCTGCTATCAACGAAGAGATATCACGTGAGTAATCCTGGTCTTTCTAAGTATTTCTTGCCCAGGGAACCAATTAACCAGTCATAGTGATGTTTCCTGTCTTTTGTAAGGATCCAGAACCCATCATTAGCCAGTATAGAACAGTGTAGACCAAATATATAAAAATGGAGTTTTGAGCCCTGTGCTCATTCTGTTTAATAATCTTTGACTTTATTTTACTTCCACAAATCTGTATCATTTACTGTTAGTTATGCCTGCTACCATATCCCTGTGTAGAATTTCTTCCTTTTGTGCATTGGTACAGTATTCTTGCTTTAGTAACATTGTTAAAAATACTGCTTAAAAAATTAAAACTAGCTTTTATGACATTGTTTTACTGTATCACTGATACATGCAGGTCTTCTGTTGTTCACTGGTAGTAATAGCATAATTAACTTGAGCCTCTGGGCTCCCTTACACCATAACTGCCAAGTAAACAGCTCTCTAGTGCCTTTAGATATGTAGAGATTTGGAGCAAATGTTATCTGTGCAGGCAAATGAAAGAGCTTCCTGATAACATCTGTTCCCTTATTTTTGTTTGATTTTGAGATAGGATCTCCCTGTGTGGAACTCTTGAGCTCAAGTGATCTTCCTGCCTCAGCCTCTTGGGTAGCTTGGACTACAGCCATGCCACCACACCCCACTAATACCCATTTTCCTTGCTAGTTTTCTATGCAGAACAAAACTACACAGGGCAAACTCATAAAAAGGCCAGACACAATGGAGTTCTCATTCTCTGGGCCCTCTGATGCCATGTAAGGATTGGAGTTATTATGGCTTATGTTTCAGACTGTTAAAGAAGGCGTCTTGCCAGGTGCAGTGGCACATGCCTGTAACCCTCAGCTGCTTTAAGAGGCTGAAGTAAAGGATTGTTAAGTTCAAGGCCAGCCAGGGCAATTGAAAAAATCTCCATCTCAAAATTTTAAAAGGGCAGGGTATGTAGCTTAGTAGTAGAGTTCTTGCCTGACATGTACAAAACCCTGGATTCAATTCTCAGTACTAGGCAGGAAGGAAAGAGAGAGGGAAGAAAAAAGAAAATGGAGAGAGGAATCCAGTCTTTTAGGGCTGGGAACCTAGACTTGCTGTTAACGTATGGTAAATTTTCCACAAGATGAGAAAAACATAAACTAAATATGGTTCTCTCAGGGTGGAGATCTGCACTCTCTAGGTGAGATTTAATGCTACTGGATGATTACACCTGCTAAGCAGAAAGATTGACTTCAGGGTTGAGTCCAAGCAGTAGCAGTGATTCCTGATTTTAGGGAACATCAGAATCACCCAAAGGACTTTTTAATAGCATTGCTGAGCTCAACTCCCATCTATCTCATTGAGTTAGGTATAGATTTGCCTGAGATTTTGCATGCCAAACAAGATGGAGTTGATGCTGAGCCGGTGATTTAGCTCAGTGGCAACACGCCTGCTTCACAAGCATAAGGTCCTGAGTTTGATCCGAAGTACTGAAAAAAGAAAAAAAAAGAAGATAGAGTTGATGCTGCTGTTCCTGGCACAAGGCCATGCTTGAAGCACTGAATTTGAGATCCTCCTGCCTCATCTTCCCAGAGTGCTGTCCTTATACCACCATGCCCAGCCTTGTTTTGTTTTATCTTGGTTGGTTGGTTGGTTGGTTTGTAGCTTTTTTGTGTGTTTTTGTTTTTTGGTACGGGGGATTGAACTTGGGTCCTTGCGCTTGTGCAGCACGCAGCGAAACCACTGAGCTAAATCCCTGGCCCTTGTAGCTTTTTTTTGAGACAGGATCTTGTATGTATTCCAGGCTGGCTTTGAACTCACTAGCCAAGGTTGGCCTTGAATTCATGGTGATCCTCCCGTTTGAACCTCTTGAGTACTGGTATTACAGGCATGCACTACCATGCCTAGTTTATAAATCTGAGTAATGGACACCTGGGTTCTTGTTGTGTTTCATTTTTTGAGATTATTTCTCCATTTTATCCTGTAGTACAGGATTTAGATACAGAGATTTGATGTGCCAGTAACATACCTTTGCAACACATTATAGTTATTCTCCTTGGAATTTACTTCAGCCAGGTGATTTTATGGGCCTATCTCAATAGAAGTTCTTTTTTTTTTTTGATACTGGGAATCAAACTCAGGACCTTGTGCTTGCAAGGCAGGCGCCGGAACCACTGAGCCAAATCCCCAGCCCATGAATAGAAATTCTTTGGGGATTTAAAATGAGCTAGTTGCTCTTTCAGCACCCTGCATCCTCCTTACTCCCCATTGGAATGTAGTCTAGCATTATTGAGCACTGGATAGAAAAATCAGGAATTTATGGCTTGCTCCTAGCTAGCTGTCAGAGGGAAGATAAGGATTGAATCAAATTACTCATTTGAGCAGTGGTACATTTAAGGAGTGTAAAAATATCCTCCATTAAATATGTTAATATTTGCCACTGATTTATTTTCTTCTATCACTTGGTCTGTAGTACAGTAGAATGCTTTTTATATAACACACTAATATGTGATTCACCGTGGGCTTTGCTTGCTTTCTTTTGGTTTCATTTTAAGTGGAAATTCATCATGTTGTAAATTAAATTTTTTCAGATTCCCTTATTGAGGTCACTTAAAAATAAAAATATTTAGGGCCGGGGATTTAGCTCAGTGGTTCTGCCGCCTGCCTCACAACTGCAAGGACCCAAGTTCGATCCCTGGTACCAAACAAACAAAAATAATCAAAAAGAGAATATGTTTAGCTTTAAAAAACTGCCACTCTATTTTCCAGAGCATTTATAACATTTATATTCCCACTAACAAATAAGAATAGTTCATTTTTTGCTAATGTTTATTGTTTATAATTTTACTGATTATGTTTAAGGTTGTAATTCATTGTGGATTTAATTTGTATTTTCCTCATGAATGTTAATATTGAGCATTTATTTGTCTAGCAGTTATTCATGTATCTTTGTGAAATGTTCAAGTCTTTTGCTTATTTGTTTTAAATTAGGGGTATTTTTCTATTTAAAATGAGTTGTTTGAATTCTTTATTCTGAGTACAGGCCCCTTCTCAGATACAGCATCTAACATCTTGTGAGTGTTCTCTTCTAGTGTGTGGCTTGCCTCTCAGTTTGTTTGTGTGTTTTGAAGAATGAAAAGTTTTAGTTTAGTTGAAGTCCATCTTATCAAAATTTTATGGTGGTTTTCTTCCTCCCCCCCCCCCCCCCAAGTAATCAGCATCACAGAAGTTTTTTGGTTCAGAAGTTTCAGAGATGCTGCCCTTTAGGGTTGGCATCATGATGCCTTTGGGTTAGCATTGTGTGTGGTGTGAGGGGTGCCAGTGCTCTGCGTTTCCAGCAGGTGACGTCTGTGTTGTCCACTTTGAATTGTTGGGTCTGTGTGTCTTATCCTTCTGTCGTGTGTCTTGTATTGGACAGGGTACAGCTACCAGTTTTGTTTGCTTTTTTGTTGTTTTGTCTGTTATAAATCCTTTGCATTTCCATATGAAATTTTTTTTTTTGGTACCAGGGATTGAACTCAGGACCATGCATTTGTGAGACAGGCGCTGAAACCACTAAGCTGAATCCCTGGCCCTTCATATGAATTTTTAAATCAGCTTGTTAATTTCTGTCCCCCAAAGAATTTGCTAGAGAGAATGATTAACTTAAATAATGACTTTTCTAATTCTTGAGTGTGATAAAAATCTATCCATTTGACAATCTTTCATTTTAGCAGTATTTAATATATACTGGATGTAAGTTTTATTTTTTAAATAATATTGTCTGGGCCGGGGATTTAGCTCAGTGGTTTTGCCACCTGCTGCACAAGCGCAAGAACCTGAGTTCGATCCCCGGTACCAAAAAAATATATATATTGTCTGTAGAATTTGTATTTGCTAGCTATTGCTATTTCATATAAAATATAATTATTTTCATATACATATTGAACTTATTCTCACAATCTTGGTAATTTTTTTTTAATTGTGCTGCTTTTTCCTGAGCATATTTTATGAATTTTGCAGATCAAAAGTTTTGTTTCTTTCATTCTTCTGATTTTAGTATATGTGTTGCCAAAGCAAGCACTCTTCCATTATTCTATACTGATACTTTGTGCTTTTTTCCTTACTGTACTGGCTTTTAGTATAGTATTGTTCCTGATATTAGCAGGTGGTATTTTTGAAGATTTCTATGTACCTGTTTATAAGAGTTATTGGTCTGTAGTTTTATTTTATAAATCCTTGTTATAGTTTGATATAAGGGTCTGGAAACACCCCCCCC